AGTATTACATCAATTCCAGGAAATATTTCAAATGTATACATTATAAATAACCATTACCTTTAATAACCTGCGTACTTCTTGTTCTATAAGAGCCTGGGTTTCAGGACTTGGTTTATTGCCGGAGGAGTTGCCTGATTGATCGTCACTGTATGTCATTATACCAAGCTAGAAAGTAATCATCAAATTATATCTATAATTACCCAAGAGGCTCTAGATTGTCTAAACATTAATGAATGAATGATGAAAGTAGCGTTGGTTTAATTTTGTCATCAGATCTACAAAATTAATTAAAACAAGGCAATACATCAACTAAAAACAAAAACATTATGAAGAGGATGAGAAAAAACATCAATACTATTGATGAAGGTGATAATGATGAAGACGGTGATGATTATGATGGCTATCATGATGATGATGACATCATCATCATCGTCATCATGGTGATACTGATATTTATGATGTTAGTGATAAAAAATATTGCAGCAGCATGAACACTGATACTTGAATCAGTTGACTGCAAAATAATAATAATAATACCAATAATTTAATTATAATTCTTATATTTAAATTATAAAATTGTAAATTATTATTCTCTGAACCTTATAAATGAAATCATACATATACATTGGATTATTATTGATTGATATTGAAGGTGGCGAGTCGAGTCAGGGGCGCCGCTAACTACAGCCTTAACATCAGCGCTGGTTTGAGCCGCTCTTCGTCCAGGGTTCAGTCGAATAAAGACCCAGTGTATACATCTTATTCGTGTGCACTTCAAAGAATCCATTGCATCTTTCGGAAGAGTAGGGAGGAGTTACCCATATGCTATGCTTCATTTCAGCCCCTGTCATTGTGGAATGATGTGGTGTAGCTAGTAGCAGCGTCTCTTTACAATGGCTGAGGTAGTCACAGACCACGCCCATAATCAATTCAACACAATGACGCTGGGAGTTATGGGTTATACTCCTACTTTTACCTCTACTTTTACCTTTTATGATAAAATTAGCCACTCTTATATGTTCAGAAAACATCTCCATCATCCACATTAATTCACAATTTTTATATATACATCATATATACACATAAATCAAATTTTTCTCAAAAGAAAAAAAATGATCCTTGTCAACTCTTGCTCTGTAAAAATTTCATAGAGCTATTAAACAACCAGAGTAATGAAAAGGTGACGTAGCAATGCAGAGTTGTGTATGTGTACCATCCAAGATGGCCGCCATAGGAAAGTGCCACCTTCAGGCTTAGTATACATATTATAACTCTCTAAATTGTTATTATTTCATTAATCATTATTATCAATAATATTAATAAATTATTAAATTATCGTAGCCAAAAAGAGGCCAAGTGAAGTATCTTAATAAATGAAGTACTGAGGAATCAAAATTGAAATTGTGTACATTGCACACATGCATACGGGTAACTTAGTTGTACTCAACTTTCATGTTTAAATTGAGGGCCCCATTGAAAACGATGATGATGCTTAGACAAATTTTGATTGGCTGAATCTAAGGTAGCCATCTTGGATGGTATACACACTCAGCTCTGCGTATTTCGAACATCGAATACATTGCAGCTAGCGCTCTAGTATTCTTATTATACCTCTATGAACAATTTAAACATCAGACATAACATAACAACTGAAGCTTCCCTTACCTTTTCACTCATTCCAAAGTTTGTTACCATGAGCTGAGCAATTCTTGTAGCCTGGTCAAAATCACTTGAAGCGCCAGTTGTGATGTTGTCGGGGCCAAAGATGAGCTCCTCTGCGACACGACCACCCATGCAGATATCCATCTGAGCCAATAGCTGTGATTTAGTTTCATTCCATTGATCCTTCTCTGGAAGAAGTGATACCTGACAGAAAAGAAAATTATGTATGAATTATTTTAAGTCTACACTGAACAATTTCTTCTCAGTTGGCTGTAATATGTGACATGACAGACCTTCTCTTTATTGCTCTATCCTATATTATCGAAAAAGGTATAAAAAAAAAACCCTGTTATTTGGTGCTTAAAGGCCAATTCAGACAGTGACCTACGGTGCAGCCTGACGCGATTCATTGCCGGGGACCGTCTTAAAAATATTAAACATGTTTAATATTCTATGACGTGACTGCCCCTTGGCAAATCGTTGTATCTGCGTTAAACTCACTCAGACCCGGCGCAACAACAAATCGCGTCTGTGTCGTACAACGCTGTCTGAGTTGCCCTTAAGATGATTGTATTCAATCCCATGGCCCTTGGTTAAAATCCTGTCGAACACTAGGATTTTTCTTCGCCTACAAAAATCAGGGTTGGTCAATCGGTTTTGTTTTATTACTATAGACCTAGGCTTAATTCTATGGTTTCCGATTGGCATATATCGATAGCTAATAAAGCATCAAAAGTGGCCATTTCAAACATCATTCCTTTGGTCGAATAATTATACTTTTGAAAACTTCACAAAAAAAAGATTTACTTTTTTGAGATTCTATGCAGATGAGACTTGGGAAAACAAAGTCTGTTACATTTTGGCTTTAAGGTACTTAGGTTCATAGTGATACACTTACATGTCCAAGAGTTGGTCCCCTTGGCATAATGGTAGCTTTATTAATTGGTTTAGCATCCTTGGTGTAGAAAGCAACAAGAGCATGGCCGCCCTCATGGAATGCGGTGATCTCACGATTCTTAACATCTATTGTAGCACTTTTCCTCTCAGGGCCTTGAAAAATGAAAACTCAATTTTAAAACATGATATGTATTACAACCAGTGGCGTAGGGATAGGCAGTGCAGCCAGGGCAAAGTACTGAGGCCCAGGGCTATTAGGGGCCCATTTATAAATAGGCCTAAAGATAATAACTAAAAATGATTTCCAACTTAATATTTTTTAAGAAAAATGTGGTGGGCGGGCGCTTCGATAATAAGTTAGAGAAGCAATTATTTATTACTGTGTGCACTTCAATTTAGTGGCGAATTCAAGGGGACCCCAGCCGGCTCGGCCTCCTCCCTAAATTTCTTAAGCTTCACATGAAGTGTCCAGCAATTAATCTAGCGCTGGCGCCCTTTCTCACTTAGCTACGCCACTGATTATTATTATTATTATTTATATTAACCATCCTCAGGAGAGAACATTAGGACGTCATTTGCATCAATCCACAAACTTGACAGAGTACAAATCAAAAATGTTTTTATGTTTGCAAAAGTACATC